AATTGATTCATTGGAAAGCATGGTAAATTTATGTGTTAGTGTTTGGAAATATTTGAGCAAGATATGACTTTTAATCTATTGAGGTAACCATGTACAATGAAAAGTATCATAGATTACATGATAATATAACAGTTAATCATTTTATATGCTAAAGCTTAGAAATATTTGAGCTTATGGCAGGTTTGATGGAAAAATGAGAATGTATGTTTTAAATATGATTGGTGATTTCAAAACAAATCAAATTTTGTTAAGGCTTAAGTAAGAAATGGGTTGCTGAATGATTGATGTAGATTTGTGTGGTAAAGTTATTGCTAAAGAAATTTATTTATTATTCCTATCTAGGTAATAGAGGAGTTAAAGATAATTGAGAGGTCTATAAGGAATAAGCTATTATCTTAGGAGTTTATCAGGTAAGTGGATAACGTCCCAACTGATTTTTTTTTCTTTTCAATTAAAATTTCCTTTGCTAAAATATTATGTTTTTCTAGAAATTGTTTTAATAGCATTAATGCAATTATTAAATATTTGTTGATTAACATTACTTTATTTTGATAAATTAACTTTACCAAATTTGAAATGTTATTTGACCAATTAAATCAAGTTTGGACTTTGATTATGAAATTTTTATTTTATCAAATATTGGATTGATACAGATAATGATTCTTGCGAGTTCGACTTTGAATTTTTTTTTATTATTTGATAAATGTAAGCATGAGCATTGGATATGAAATTTTATTCTGGCAAGTTTTAATGCTTAAAAGTATTCATGCGAGTTTAATTTTGAGAATAAGAACTGTATCTTGAAAGTAATGATTTTCTCGCATGTTTGAAAATGGTTTTAAAAGGGACTTTATACGGAACACTGGTTGCTAACAGCAATTCCATTAGTCCTTAGTGCGCCATGGTACACCTAGCTAGTAGGGTGTTTATAGGAAGTGTTAGTCCCGTACGATGGCCAACGCATGTGGAACGGAGGGATGATTATTCGTGAGCATCGTAGTCACATTTGATTTCGTGGCTTTAAGCCGTGTTTGGTTATCATTATCCTTGTGGATTGTGTGTCCACGTTTATTTCGTGACTTCGGCTGTGTTTGATTACCAACCCTCGTGGACTATGTGTCCACATTTGTTTTCGTGGCATAAGCCACGTTTGGTTATTTACTCTCATGGATTATGTGTTCACGTTTGTCAATTGTTTTAATAAGTCCTTATGATGAAAAAATTTAATAATTTGGTAATTTTATATCTCATTGATTTTTTTAGTAATTTATGTAGAATTATTTATTTTGTTTATTCGCTTCTTGAAACTACGTGACATTAATATTTGATCTAATACTTTAACGCTTCAAAATTTTATTTAAAATTATATAGAACTATTTTATTTTGAAGTTTATTAAATTTTTATGAGGATGGTTATTTCTACTTACAGAATTGTTTCAAACTTTCTTTTATTCATGTTAAATTATTTATTGTTAGGATGTTATTCATTGGAAATATTTTTGGTTTCAGATAATATAACTAATGAGCCACAGCCTGTTGCTCTCTAAGGGGCTCGTTGTTGAATGGATGAGGAAACCTTTTGAGGCTACCTTCATTTTTGATGTAAATGTTTAATTATGCACTATACTTTATAAATCATGATTAGGTGCTCCATGTTAACTATAAATAGAATTTTGATGTCATTTATTTGGCTGTAGTGGAGAAGCAAAGCTCCACATTTCTGAGTTGGATTGTACCTTGGTATTGTAAAGATTCTAGTAAGTCCTGTTTACAATTAAGGTTCTCTCAGAAGTTGTTTTTTTAAAAAAAAAATTAAGAATCTTTTATTAAAAAATAATAGTATAACCACTTTCAATCTTATTTTTAATTAAGTTAAAATATTAGAGTAAAGTTTCCTTGATCAAGACTGAAGGGATGTATGTTTGTGCATATATCCTATGCCGATCACGTCTAATTTTTAGGACGTGACATAATATATTGGGAGTTGATCACCAAAAACAAAAATCAAGGAGGTCTCAAGTTTAAAAAGCTTAAAAGTCAAAACTGAGCCTATATTATAAAACTTTGCTGGGGAATTATAACTAAGCCCAATTGTCTCTAGGTTCATGTCCTTCGTGATAAATACAAATGCAATAATCCTATCATTCTTATGATTTGCAAAACTAACTTTAGCTCTTACACATGGTCCAGTATTTGCAAAGTCTACGATCAATTCATTTCTCATGTGGGATGGAAGGTAGGAAAAGGGGATCAAGTTTCCTTCTGGTATGACAAATGGTGTCCCCTCCCAGATCTCCTTGTCAAATATGCTTTATCTAATGTGTTCTCATTCCTACATACTAGAGTCTCTAATTTTTATGATAATAATGGTTCCATGAAAGTAGGCCAATTATGCAGATATCTTCATCCAGAAATCATCAAACTTATCACTGTTGTGTAGCCTTCGAACTCTAATGCAGATGATGATGTTATATGTTGGAGACCTTCAAATGATGGCAACTTCTCTATCAAATCTGCTTACAAGGCCATAAAAATTCATTGTGATACTACAAGCCCTGAAATTTGGAAGTGGCTAACTTATGAGAAGATCAAGTCCTTTCTCTGGAAAGTAGCTTGAGATCAACTTCAACCTAAAATCTCATGTTTTAATAGGAATATTCCTTCCTTGTCTTTTTTATTGTAATTCTTTAGATTCTACCACTCATATCTTGAGAGATTGTAAAAGATCTCAAGAGGTCTGGTCAAAACTAGTTAAACAAATTGAACTAAATACTTTCTTTTCTCTATCTTTATAGGAGTGGATTCTCTGGAATGCAAAAAGAGAAGCAGGTAATGCAAGATCACGTAATATCCCTTAGCAAAAGCTCTTCGCTCGCGTGTGTTGGAATATTTGAAAAGAGAGGTGCAAAATCATTTACTCTAAAGATGATACCCATAAGAGAGACATTGTCTTTACCAGCATACAAGATATCCTCAATGACCAATACCTCCAATCTAGAATTAATTTTTTGACTCAACAGGGTGATAGAACAAAGGCCAAATGGTTCCCCTTGAAAAGATTGGGTAAGACTTGATATAGATGGTTTTGTCAACAATCAAAGGGTTGCTTCTTATGGTGGTCTCATTCGAGATAACCATGGCAATTGAATCAAATGTTTCTCTAAATTTCTTGGTTACCATCCTAGGACGGCGGCTGAACTTATGGGCATTATTGAAGGACTCATTATTTGTTGGGCTAAGAAGTTTAATAGAGTCAATATCTTCTCGGACTCTACTGAAACAATTACGCCTATACGCAATAAGTTTTCTAATACTCATCCACTTGCTGCAACTATTAACAAAATCAGAGACCTTCTCATGTATGATTGAATTGTCACTTTTGATCACGTTTTTAGAGAGGCTAACAAATGCGTAGACTGGATGACCCATCAAGCCTCTCCCGACAATTCAATTGTTCAGATTTTTAATAGTCCACCTATTGGTTGTAGTAACTTTTTGTACGTTGATATGACTTAATATGTCTATCTGCACGGTTTTTTCGTGGCCTTTTATTAAAAAAAAAGTGATATAATTGGAAATAAAGTGTTGCGTCATTTTGTTCAGGTAAACACTGGACTACAAGTTACAAGTGACTAGAGAATACTATGAAATACAACTAAATAAGTTTTAACCGATTAATCCAACACAGCGTTCCTCAGTTATAACCATGCTGGTTGTCGCAAACAAGCAACCCAAACGCAACAATTGATTGCTCATATGACATTGACACAAGCCATCTCTTGTTGCCCAATTCGCATACTGCACGACAATCGGCCTATATTTGTTCCCTCAGTTTTTGATTTTATTCAAATATGGTTCCTCGTTAACCGAGCTTCCCCTTCAAAATCACCCTTCCCCTCCCTATCAAAATGAGTTGAGAATAGATCTGATTTGTCTCCAGGTTCCTCCTTCCGATACTTTCATCAAGAAGATTTTTTTTTAATTTTACATTTGTGTGTTCTTTAAAAACCCACTTGCCCATGTGAATGCGGGAGGAAGACCATGAAGGAAACCCAATTGGTCAGGAATACAGGTTAGATCTATATGACTAACCAGCTTATCCCATATTTTGTTAAGGGTTCGGTTTCCATAATTGATTAAAACAAGCTATGAAGGGCCTTTGGGCAAAGCCTTTATGGGCTTGGCTCATTACATTAGGTCTCTCAGCCATAAAAAGGCTTGGGTCAGCCCAATTTTCCTTTTTATATTAAATAAGTTGATTTTTTAAAATATCATTAAAGTGTATGATATAACCTTGTTGTGTAATCTGTAAGTTTGATGTTATTTTTCAAAAAATATAAATTTATTTATTTTATCTAATTGTTTTTTAAGATTTATATTGATAATAATTTAAATTTGAATGATCAGATATAAGAATATGAATGTTGAATTGTACTATTATTTATTCTTTAAAGAAATTCAACTAGGACCTTAGATGTTATGATTTATATGATATATCTGTGCTTTCTTATTATAGACAATTATATTTGAGACACATTTATCAATTTTATTCTTTCAATATTCAAATATCTTGTTTTTGCATTTTCGCATGAAGATAAATATATGTTTGATTGCTCTTTTTTTAGATGAAAATCGAAAATTGAAATGCAAAATATTTTCATTTTATAAGATGAAACATCCACTTTTAGGGCATGAATCGGCTAATAAAGTGTCTGGTTTCCTACGTGACTGAGGGATTAAAAAGAAAGGGCTGTTGAGCCCACATCTAATGGACCAAACCAATTAGAGGTCAGTCTAAAACGTAATGGGCCAAACCTATTAGGCCGAATAAATGGAAGAAAAAATCACTCAACAAGAATGACGTGAGCCTGTCGTCATGCGTTGTATGCGTAGATGGGGAAATCCTGGGTTACTTAGAAACCTTTAGCGATAGCCTTTACTCTCCCATGCACATTTAATTCATCAATATCCAGTTTTTAAACTGCGACCATATCCCATCAAATCACGGATGAACGAAAATACTTGATTCCATATGATAGTTTCGTACAAGTTGCAACATACACATAAAGCCTAAATCCACGTGAAGGGGGGGGGGGGGGGGAAGAGGGCTGAGAGTAAGAACTAGGGTAATAGGAATTAGCAAGATTCCTAGTGCCTCGAGACAAAAACCAAGGCCACAACAATCCTACCTGTACTACATAGTCTAAAATCTAAAAGGACCTCGCACGGTCTCACCATGTGCGTCCAACATAAAACCACCACCTAGAGCACAAAATATTAATAAAGATCAATCTTTGTTTACACTAAGAAAACGGCTCTCCTGTTGAAGGAGAATATCAACTGCCCCTGCTTCTGGAAGATATGCTCTTCTTAATTAGCAAGCACTTCCCAGATTAACTCCGGATCGAAGGAAGGTATCCTTGCCAGGGAACAACCTTCGAATGCTGATTCCTCTGTTACCATTGTCGGACACTCGGCTGAAATAGCGGACGGCGAGTTCTCGCCCTTCCATATTCCGTCTTCTGAAATCGTCGGTGAAATTAACTCGTTCGTCCAACTGTCGTCGAAAACTAGCGGGGAAAACGGTACCGAGGATGAAGAACAAGAGGGCGATTCGATCTTTTGCGATGTCTGAGTCTCGTCGGTGCTGGGATTAGATTTAGGCTTCTTAGCGCTGCTCTTCTTGGCTCTCTCCCTCTTCACCTTTAGACAGATGGCCTGAATTTTAGCATCCACGGAGGTCTTCAAAGCATTTAATCTGGAGCTATCTCCGAATCCTAGCTTACTGGGGTCCTTCAGATTCGGGAAATTCAAACGAGCATATTCGCCTCGGAGTTTATAAGCAGCACGATCGTACGCATAAGCCGCAGCTTCGGCAGTTTCATAAGTGCCTAACCACACTCGCATTCTGTTCTGAGGAAGTCTAATTTCGGCCACCCATTTTCCCCAGTGTCTCTGTCTCACTCCCCTGTATAGCTTTTTCTTGCAGGGGTTCATGTACGAGTATGGTGTTGCTCCTGCATAGTTTAGGCGCTGATTCGTCGATGATAGACCACTAAATGAACTGCTCGCTCGGTTATCCTCGTAGAATTTCTGCAGAATGTCTCTTTGACGAAGGTACACAGACGAGCCCAGCGGTTCAAACCCGCATGAACATAAGGCCTCAATCATGGGGTTGCTGATGGAATTTGTTTGGGGACACTGAGAGAAAATAGAATCCAAGGGGTTTGTCCCGCCGGATAATATCAGATTTGATAAAGATGACCCGATATCAGCAATCTTGTGCGGTTCAAGCTGAACATCTGTCTCTTGAAATCCTTCCATGAGACTAGAAAAATGGTAGGGAAGAAGAACACTAAAAAGTTGGTCCCTCTTCCTGAAACAAAAGAAATGAGAGGGTAATGAGGAATCAAATGTGAGAGAGAAGAGGAAAATAGGAATTGGTTGTTTTCCCGAGTGAAGGCAGAGGAGGCTAAACGATCGTTGTTAAAGCTTGAGAAGGATGTGATCCCGAAAAAAGTGAGGATCGAGGAGGAATTGAGAGGAAAACAGAGAGAGCAGGAGAGAAGAGAGGAAGGATGAGGAGGAGGAAGATTAGAGATTCGTGTGGGGCTTGTTCGAAAGAATCGTTGTTACTGTGTATTGTTCTCCCCATGTGCTGTATTTGTAAGAGCTTCCAGGGATATTTCGCTTTAGCGAATCCGAATCCCCGTTCACAACTCCACCATCCAAATTTTCATCACTTTGACTAAAACGCCCCTCTGCGGACCTAAATAGTAGTAGTACTAGTATATTAGTGTTCCGATTTTTATATTGATTGTAGCATAAATATTTTTGAATTCTTAATCCAATGTTAACGTAATGGCGGGGCTGGTTTTATTAAAATGTCTATTCATGGAAGTTGACTGGGGATGATATTCATTTTTTAATTTTGAGACGCGATGCTCTCACTGTAATTTATCATAAAAATTAACATACGTATTATGGCGTCAAGACATTTTTTGTAGCAGGAAATAGTGAAGTATTTCCTTCATTTTTTTTTTGCAGGAGAAAAAAATATATCACATAATTTAAAAAAAATTAATTAACCATATTAATTGAGCCTGAAAATAATGGAATGAGACTATAATATTATTTATTAGTTGTATTAATCAAACATTTATTAATTATTTTTTATGACTATAAATGGTAAAACTAAAAGGGATAATTTTAAAAATTTATAATAAATGCTTATTAAAAAAAAAAGTAATGTTTTAGTCCTTCAATTTTTAATTCACTTGTAACTCAGTCCTTTAATTATGACTAGTCCCTTAATTTTTGTTAATTTTTTTTTTGTGTTAGCTTAGATCTCACATTATAGAGTAAAAAGAGGGTATTTTAAAATAATATATGAGTATTTTTTATCCCCCTTACTTGGTAAGGAATTTTTTAAAAAAATTTGTATTTTAACTCAGTCCTTTAATTATGACTCGTCTATAACTAGTCCCTTAACTTTTGTTAATTTTTTTTTTGTGTTAGCTTAGATCTCACATTATAAAGTAAAAGGAGGGTATTTTAAAATAATATATGAGTATTTTTTTATCCCTCTTACTTGGTAAGGAATTTTTTCAAAAAAATTTGATAAATAAAGATTGAATTATAAGTGAATTAAAAGTTGAGGAATTAAATTGCAGTGAGTTATAATTGAGGGATCGAGTTGCAGTGAGTTATAATTAAAAGATTGAGTTTCAAGTGAGTTAAAAATTAAAAGTCTAAAAGATTAATTTTTTCTTAATAAATGTGATTTTACTTACATAAAAAAATAAATTAAAAATAATAGTTTTTTTAATAAATAAAAATGGAGGGCGTGTATATAGGAGCGGTATTATTGCCTGTTGATATTTGCGTTAGTTGTGTGCGAAATGATATGAGCAAACTCGCTGGCTTTTGTTGACAAAGTATGCAAGAGTGAAGCAATCATTGGAGCAGCGAGTTGACAATAAACTAAAAGACAATCCCTGGATTGATATGGGCGTCCAACCAGAGCACTTGAAAGGGTAGTATGGTAATTAGAGGAGGGAGGGGAAAGGAAATGGTCAAATTTGAAGAAAGCAAGGATGAAGGAGGGCAAAAATGGGTAGTGAATTATTGAGTGAGGTCGGTTTCAGAGTTGAGTCCGTGTGGTCCCAACTCCGAACGTGTCCGTACCATTATCTCTGCACATCAGAAAAAACTAAAAAGGCTACTTTTGTGATTTATTGCAGAGAGAGAGAGAGAGAGCTCAGAACTCAGAAGCCACGCCCTGCTCTGCTTCTTTATCCATTAAAGCCAGTCCTTTTCTTCCTCCATGCCTTCCCTTGCCACGCGTCTCTCCAACTTTGCTTCATCTCGTGCTTTCCTTTTCCCACAGCAAAAAAGAAAAAGAAAAAAAAAATCTCCCATCCCATTTTACTTTTTTACCGCCCACTTCCTCAGTTTTCTTCATACATATCCACCTGTCATTTTGAAGAAATGAATGGTGGACTCAAATGAAGACTCGGGGGTCTGGCCTCGTCGTGATCATGTAGCTTGTTGATCAGCTGCGATGTACTGATGAAAATGCCATGATTACTTACAGCTTAAGGCCAAGACGCATTTAATCACCTCGAATCACAATCGGAATAATCAGATTACTTGCGAGTGCTTCAACATCATTTGCCTCCATTCCGATACAAGCATTGATATGAAAATGAAATACGCACGTAAGACCCCGTTAGCTTCTCGTATTTACTTTTTATTGCTGCCAGCAGAGCAAGACGTGTCCCGCCGGTTACACTCCATTAGAAAGAAACATGGAAATTAAATGCGTTAGTGACGCTTTCGAAGTTCTTTCCCTTCGGGAGAATCAGGAACAAGAGTGCTGGGAATTAGTCAAATCGCTCGAGAAAAAAAAAAACAATTCATTTTTTCCTGTAAAATAAATAAATAAACTCAATCATTGATCCAAGCAATTAAACGGGAGCATCAAGTGGGAGGCCTCCCAAGGAAATCTGCGTAAAGACAGTGATAGCAAGGTTCCACCCCATCTCTGCATTATCATATCATATCCATTAAGTAATTATATTATACGCATCCTTCTGCCTGCCAATCAAGGTTGTTCTAAGTCTAATCTTAATTGATCCCTGCTAAGGTCGCTAAGATTTGAACGAGTGCACTGAGCCATATGTTAAAAACAGAGGAAAAGAACAAATCAGAGATGAAAAGTAAAAAAAATAAAATAATAACACATCACATTTTAACTAAAAGTATCTATGTTTAAATTTCTAAATTCTTTTATTCTTTATATATTAGTTATTAAACTTAACAGCTGCACTGCTATAAAATTAAAATGAAACTGAAACATGGAACATGGAACATGACCTAGTCTTGTTGGGACTGGTCGTGTGGTGTGTGGCGTGGGTGGGAGGAGGAGGAAAGGTGGGTGAGATCCCATGGGAGTGGGGACGTGTAGTCAGCAATCAATTATGAAGCATTAAAGGCATAAAGGTGAGCATTGAAAAGCTGTGTATGCGAGTGATAGCCTTTTCCAACGACACTGCTCGTGAACGGTCCTCCTCTCCTCTCTTCCTTCCTCCGCTGAACTCTATTTTCTCTGCATGCATGTGACCCTCACCTAATTTTCTCCCTCACACACAGCTTCACCATCACTGCTCTTTTCTCACTATATCCCACTCACTCCTTTCTCCCATCTTTTTCATATCCGTTTTACGAAATCTTCTCCTCCACCCATTCCTTGTATCCGCTTATCAATGATATTATCCTCTTTCTCTCTTGAAACCGGCATCATCAGGTAATTTAGTTTAATTAATTCACACAAATGATTACAGAAACACCTTCGCATATGTACTCTCCGTTCACAACAGGAAGCATAGAGTATCTAAAATGTTGGGCTTACTGTTAAGATTAAATATAAAGTTGACAGAGATGTATTTAGAGTTAGACTGGTGAGCTCAATCTTTAAGGGCCTAGCCTTTATAGGCTTGAATCTTAAAACTTGACCCTTATGTGAAGGGCTTAAGGTCAGGCCGACAAAACCTTTTTTAAAAATTAAAATAAAGTTAAATATTATAGATTAATTAAAATATTATGAAATAAAAAAACCAAAATCCTCATAATTTTTTAAAAATTAAACAACATATATTTAGAAGTCTAATAATAAAATTTAAATCTTGATTAAAAAATAATTAACTTTTTATAAATACACAAACATAATAATTATAAAAAAATAAAAAATATCATAAATTTTATAATATACATTGATATTTATTAAATTATATTAATTAATTTTAAAATAAATTTAAATTAATAATGGTATAATGAGTGTAGAATTAGGTGAGCAGGTCATTGATTTCAAACACGTATTCCACTAAATAATAATAATAATATAATGTGATTTAAAGAATCACTTGAGCTCGAGCTTTTTTTATAGAATTTGTTAAGGTTAAACTTTTAAACTTAATTATTTAAAAAAATTATTTTTAAAGTTTAAATTTTTATCTAAACAAAACTTTCAAATTCAACTTTCATGTTAGATTCTTATTTTCGACTCTAGATGTCTAGTCTTGTGTATTTTGCTTTTATAATAGAATAGGTGGGTTCATTTTAGATGGAAAGAAAGTGAAGCAAAGGAAGAGAGGACTGCTGAAAATAGAGAGGGCGAAAAGGTAAAAGCGAGGGGGATACTTATCTGCAGGGGGGGTTTGGAATTGACTAATGAAAAAGGTATGTTTTGGCAGTATACGGTAAAGGAATTTGATTTGAATTAATGATGAAGATGGCACTGTGTGTGTGCAGGTTGGTTGGTGGGTCCCCTATCTTCACCGACTCTCTTTTCTCTCTGACTTCATCAACCCTTCTTCATTATGTCACCCATCTCCTCGCCGAACCCTTCCATTTTCATCTTTTCTCCACTCCTCTCCTCTTCCTTTTTGTTTTCCTTTCTCTTTTTACTTATGTACGTCTATCTTTTCACTCGAAGCGGCCCCAAAACCTCTCCCCTTTATTCTTCTTGTTTGGTCCAATGTAGAATATAAGCATCCTTTTAAACTTAATTTTAGTTTAAAATACAAATAACTTAATAAAGGTAAAAAAATTATTTTATCCCTTATATTTATTGTTCTATATATTTATCTAAATATATCTTTTACTTATCATAAAATATATTAATAATTGAGATTATGAGTAAAAAAATAATATATAATTTTATGAAGTTAGGTACTTTATTAGTATGCAATTAAAAAAATTGCTTATATTTTGAATTAGAGGGAGTATTTTTCTTCCATCAAGTTTCTTGATCATAACCATTCATTAATATGATGAGGGAAATGGAATGAAAATGATGAAAAAAATGAATAACTAATGCATCTTATAAAAAACAATCATATTCAAAAGATGATCGTATATTAAATGCAATCACGTCTTCAAATGACAAATTATATCTTAATTCATCACATCACGAGTTTCTTCCACTTGAATTTGTATTAGGTAAGTAACTTGAATACATGCACTAAAAGAATATCACAATTACAATTGTTGAATTTTATCCATATTTAAACATTATCAAAAATATATTTCTATTTAAAAAATCAAAACATTCTTTACCATTACATATTTTTCACATATTATTTGGGCTAAAATATGAAAATTCACTCAAATAG